TAATCAAATAATCACATATTAATTACCTCGGGTGATAACTAGGATCCGGTTATCACATTTTTAAATCTTTCTTTAATTTGAAAAATCACATATGAAATATATTTTATTTTTAATTAAAATAAATTTAATCCGTAATCCTTTTTAAATTCTTTTTATTTATTTTTTTAATTTGGAAAATCACTGACATAATTTGTTTTATTTTTAATTAAAATAAGTTAATCAATAATCTCTTTTAAATGTAAGTACTTTTTTGATATACTTGTTTCAGTTTATAGATGTAAGTATTTTTTTTTGTTCAAAAAATATTTAGGGACTTAATCGTTCAAAATATGAAAGTCCATTGGGTTTTTTTCAGACTTTTTCTATTATTTTACCACATTAACTAGTTGTATAGATTATAAGGATGTATCTAAAAGGTTTTAAAAAGTCCAAAGAGTTATTTGACATGTTTTGGAATGTCTAAGGACTTACTTGTTCCAAAAAATTGGCCAAGAACTTAATCATTCCAAACACTAAAGTTCATTGGGTTTTTTTAGACTTTTCCCTTTACAATATCATATGTTTTGGCCCTAGATGCAAAATGTAGCCTGTTTCGTGAAAGGTTGCATGTCATGTAACACGTCTAAACTAGCGAACAGGAAGGTTGGATTATACACCCCCTATCGGTATCGACTCGTTCATGGGAAATCATTTTGATGGATTTTGTAGGAGGCCTCCCAAAGACCCGAAAAAGGGAATGACTACCTTTTTGTGGTAGCAGACAAGTTCTAAAAAATGGTGGTACTTATGCCATGCAAGGTGAAGAGGCATCAAGACTTATCTTTGACGATGCGTGGAAGATATTTGGGCTACTCACATCCATCATCTCTAATCTTGATTCACGATTATTAAGTTTTGGTGTGCTTCATGGTCTAAAATGGAAATAAAGCTTAAGCATAATACTTCCTTCCACCCATAAACAAATGGTCAAATGGAAGTGGTAAACCGCTCAGTTGTGTATCTTCTACGAAGATATAATGTAAGGCACCCAAAAATATGGGATAACAACATTCCACATATTCAAGTTGCTCAACAAATAAGGCACCATCTGAAGTTTGCTTGAAATTCCTTCCTCAAAGTCCACTCAATAAGGAGTTCACAATCCAATTCCATGCCAGATGGCAAATACATTAGGGAGGGAGGTAGAGCTCAAAGATTCATCTACGAAAGGTGCATCAAGAGGTTGAGCAACAACTACACTGGTCCCAACAGAAGTACAAAGAGCGCCATAACCGACATCGAGTTCAAGGAAAATCTCAAGGGGAGATTTGGTGTGGTTGCACCTAGGAAAAGATAGTTTGAAGGGGTAAGGGAAAAAGCTTAAACCCATCGCTTTGGGCCACTTTGATATCGAAAGAGATTGGTGAAAATGCTTGCCAACTTTGAATTCGAAAGAGATTTGGTGTGGTTGCACCCTGGTAATGTAGTGTAATTACCCAAATCATGTGGTCCGGTAATGGAGAAAAAAATTCCCATCTTTCGGATGCATAATTTATTAAATATGCTTATACTTGCTGAATTTCCCAATATGGTTGATAATCAAGTTAACAATCAGTTTACAATGGATCTGATTTGATTGAATCAAAATTACAACTCTTGCTTTGATACTGAATACAATTTTTTGCACAAATTGACCTGTTTCTATTGGTTTAGAACTTGCCAGAATATTTTACAAGTATGAGAAAATGGCTTTGTTTCTTGCAGTTCCCACATCATAATCTAACTCTAGAAGCAGCTTCTCCTGGACTTTTTGTTGACAAGGACAGTACTTTCTGGGATGTCCCCTTGACCATGGCAATCGACCTGGCATCCGTTGCTTCCGATAGTGGCACAAGTTACCATSTCTGCATCAACCATAATGCTGGTTCACCARGAGTATTTGGAAGCCATCAAAATGGTGCAATGGTTGCATCTTTACAGCCTGGTTTGTCTGCCACAACTGCATTTTCTTTTAAACATAATATCGACATATGGAGAAGTGGAGCACCAAAGTTGAAAATGGTGCAACCATATGACACCTTCCTCTCTAATCCTCATATCTCAGTAGCAGGAATCATTGGTAAGGAATGCTCGTGATGCTCCACTTACTTTATTGTTGTTGCAGACTTGTTGTAATGATAAAGGAACATATATACGATCATGCATTTTCCTTATATGAGGAATAATGCCAAAGTTTCAATTTTTAGACTTGTAAATAGGAGTTCATTCCTAATATATAATTGCCTGCCCAATAATTATGTGTTTGGGGTAGACACTCTAGGGATCCATTGCGATATGAATTCATGTTGCCTAACCACATTCTGACACAGGAGGCGTCATGACTGCATGTTTTGGAGATAATTCAGTTAGAGCCCCAACAGGAAATGGTCTGAATGGTTCTTTCGGTCTTGGTGTGAGGAGGGGCAACTGTGCTATTTTAGCTGATTCATTTGCAACAGTGTCACTCTCTGCCCAGCATGGAACTTTCCAGAGGATGTTCCTTGATCTAACTCGTTGTCAGGCCCTCCTCGAATTTCYTTCTGCTTCAACTTTTCTTTCAGGTTCTGCGCRATYGGCAAAAGATGTATACAAYTCGCACCCACCTAAGCTAGAAGCTGTTCGGGAAATTTGTCCAATTACCACCCTTTCATTTCAACAGCAGGTACTTACCTTAAGATTTTTATGATATTTGTTATCGGATTTATATATGTTTCAACAGCACTAGTGTTTTACAGAGTATGTCTGGATTGTTTGTAGATACCATCATGCAAAAGTAGTTTTTTTTTGTTTTAAAGTTTGATGTTTAGATTTCCCTGCTTAACTTGTTGGTGCAGCTCATCGGACCTTTCAGCTTCAGGGTGGATTCTGGAGTTGAGTTGGATTTCAAAAAGGATGACATGTTTCTGAAAATGAAGGATCCTGTATTTGCAGTTGAATATGCATTACAAGTTCTTGGTTCTGCCAAAGCTGTTGCATGGTACTCACCAAGGCAGCAAGAGTTCATGATTGAGCTTCGTTTTTYTGAGACCTKAATCATATTTKTCTGTCSCGATTGATATACTGCTGTARTTTTATATTTCTMGTTCAACCATCTAGTACATGACAAGATAGATTGGTGAATCAAGGGCTATTTGACCTTTCATTATGGAAGTATTATTGATTTCTTTACATGACTGATTGGTGGAAAAGACATGAATGGGAGTTATTTAATGTTGCTAGATGTTACAAGCTAATTTCAAAACCATTTTTAGGATTCTGTGTGTTTCAACCTTGTCATAAAGTTAAGCTCCTGAAATGGGAATTGACCCTTTTGATCAGCTTGTGACATGGGGTTTAGGGTTTATGAACTTGCCCTGGAGTTGATACCATTCTATAAGTGGGATATGGTAGCAAGATCTAACCAAATAAAAATACCAGGTGCTTCAAAATAAACTCTTCTAAATACACAACTGACATTTAGCAGATGACGAGAACCAGTGCCATTTATGTTGCTGACTAACCTAAACTAGTAATATTGCAGCTTACATTTGCTTATGCTATGATGCCTACCGAAACTAGTTGCAGGCCCACCCTCAGGAAGCTGGAGATGTTCTTCATTATACTTAACTTNTTGCAGCTTACATTTGCTTATGCTATGATGCCTACCGAAACTAGTTGCAGGCCCACCCTCAGGAAGCTGGAGATGTTCTTCATTATACTTAACTTCCACCAGACAAAGACCATGAGGCGGAGCTACAAGAGCGACCTTTGCAAGTTCCTTGCGATCACATGTTGCCAAAATTTTTGGAACAATCTCCGATGGGATTGCTTCCCTCCCAATCTGTAACAATAAAGCAACCTATAAAAGTGGAAACCAATAAATGTCTCAATCCGATCCAAGTAATCATTTGAGGAGATGATGATGGTGTACCATGTTTCTGACTTGTCTATAGAGAAATCCAGAGCCTTCAACTTCAATCTGCAAAATGGGTCCCTGAAAAACACCAAAAGGTTTGTTTGTTGCAAAKGCACACCCAAAAAATAAAAATAAAGAAATAAAAAAAATTACCTTTTCAKTTATATCMAGTCGGAATATATTCTTCACTGGGTTGACTGTGCGATCATTGCGCTGTGCATTCGCAAAGGCTGAAAAATCATGTTTCCCTAGAAAATGCTTAGTGGCTTCCATCATGACACAAGTATTGAGCTTGGAACGATTATGATAAGCATATAGACGATGGAATGGGTCCATAACAKRATCATTATAGATCTTGTAATGATAGATCTTTCCGGTGACTGAAAAACGAGCATGGAATTGGGGCATTGCAGGGCAGATTTCTGTAACTCGAATGTCAGGAGGAAGAAGACCATTGAGTGCTGCGTGCATATCCTGCAGTCCTTGATAATTGAAAGGTGTAACGAAGTGTGCCACCTGAAATCAAGTTTTAAATTTAAACTCAATGATTGATTGGTTGCTATACGTGTGAATACCATTACCTGACCTAGCGCATGGACTCCTGTGTCCGTCCTACTTGCACCAACTACACAGAGATCCTTGCGCTCTAGTTTTGTAACTCGAGTTAAGGCTTGTTCCAAAATGCACTGTATGGTTGGCGTTGWGGGCTGATACTGCCAACCTAAAAGTAAGTACAAAAAGCCCTATCTTGAGGGAATGTTCTATAATCTCGATTTAGGGCATAAAGTAAAGACATAATCAAGATGAAGATGGAGATAGAAACCAGAAAATCGAGTGCCATCGTAGGATAAAACCAAGCGCCATCTGTAAGCAGGTTGTTGATGAGGATAGGGATGAATAGTGGGCAAGGGAAGTAGTCCAAGAGCCATTATTCTATTCGCGCTATCAGTTCATATACCCTGGTTGGAAATTGGTAAATGGTGATTGTGGTCGGGTTAGGATGGAAACCATGTTACATAGAAGTACGGTTTTGCAATTCATAAATTCTTTGTATATTCTCAAAACGTTTTATACACAACATAGGATCCGATGAAGCATAAATTGTAATGGATAACCAAATGAAGGTCATGATTTAAAGGTGTTAGATTTTTTGAACGAGTTTTTAAAGTTATATTTGATTTTTATAAGCAGTGTATTTGCATTATAAAGATGCACCTCGAATTTAACTCATTAATCAACATAAATGTTATTGGTATATGCAAAGAACCCAACTTAGGCTGATTTGTCCTTAATGAACTCAACATCTTCATATAAATAGTTTAAAACAAATAAAATACTTATCATGTATATATTTTTTCTAAATACTAGACAAATATAATATTTATCAATCCTTGCTACAAATATTGTTTCAAACATACACATTTATCTATTTTAAGCTCAAAAGAACTCATCTCATAGTGTAGCTTAAGACCTACTCAATTATAACGTAAAAATGTCTAGATATCATAAAAGACAATACTGATATTGACTCCTCAAATGTATCATCAATTATGATCTTCTTGATCTCCTAATCAATATATTGTCTTACTTTTTCCCCCAAAAAAAACCTAAATTAGCAGGCACAATTTTTACATGAGTGCAAACAATGCAGACAATAACCTTAAATTCCCCTCCCCCAAACAAAAACGGAGCTAGTCACTTGGAACATAATGGTAACAGTATCAGATGGTGAAAATGGTTGAATTTTTAAAACATTCAGCTGAATTTATTTCTCACACCAGGTATAAAACTTGTTCACTATATCAGAATTCAATTTCTGGTTGACAATCTTCTTTTTTACCCAGCAAAGTTGACACAACAAGCTGTTATTGATGCAAAAAATTGAAACGATATTAGGGTTATAAAAAGATGGAGATACCTGAAAACTCCCAAATAGGAAGATTTTGCTGGATCGTATTGTTTGAATCGACTCAGCAAATTGATTAAAATTAATGAATACGAGGGTGTGTATGTGAATTAAGAGATGATAGGAAATTGGGGAGGATGAGAAAGAACAAGTTAGGGATGATGAATTGATCGGAATCATGACCCTGGTGAGTGAGAACGGCCGGGTTAGGGTTTCTCGTTGTTTTTTCTTTTCATTTTCATTTTCTGTTTCTGTTTTTTTTTCTTCATATATCGGTATCAAATGAATTTTCTAATGATAAATTTGGTTTACATGCGTAATGTAGTACCATATGTCAAAAATATGCTTAATTAAACATCAGTTGGTTGTTGTATTGGATAAACAGTCTGAATTGTATAAATGATTATTTTATTTTTTACTTTATATCAAACAATCTTTGTAGATAAAATTTTACAATATAACAACAATATTTGCAGCAAATTTTAAAGAAAATAGATCAAACAAGAAAACTGTATGAACGTTACAAACAAATCATCAAACAATCAATTTTTTACAATAATTATTTGTAGATCAATCATATTACATGGAATACTCATACCAAGAACAACAAGCAAATCAAATGTAACCAATTGTTGAATCAAATTAAACCCAAATAAAAAAAAACATAATCGATGAACCCTTATAAAAAAACCAAGAGGGGTCAAAACCATATTCAATAGGAGATGATGTGTAAGGATCTCGATCTCTCCTTCCATATATAAAGCATTTGAATCTTTCTGCTAACACTACAAGAAAAATAACCTTTAGAGAAGGTTCTGTTTTGTACTTAAAATTCTTAAAAGCTTCTCTAAAGGCTTTAGAGAAGCTTTTCATTTCCGTTAAAAAGCTTCTCTATGTAAGGGTAGGTAAAGGTTTTAGGGACGATTTTCGAAGGGTATGTTTTTGGTAACCTTTAGAGACACCTTTTTAGGGCTTTAGATACACTTAAAAACTTCTCTAAAGATTAGTTAACTTTTTTATAAAAGCTTCTCTAAATGTATTTATTAGTGACACTTTTCAAGTATTGATGACGGTTTACAAACGTCTCTAAAAGGTRCTTTCAGAGAAGGTTACAAAAAAGCTTCTCTAAAGATATTGGCTTTAGTGACATTTTACCTAAACTTTCTCTAAAGATGTCTTTTAGTTACACTCTACAAACCTTCTCAAAAGATTATCTTTAGATACAAATAATCAAAACCTTCTCTAAATCTTATCTCTAGATACACTTTTAAAGATCAATTCCTTCTCTAAAGGGCATGTTATTATTATTTTTCATCCATATTTAAGATCTATATTTGTATATAATTATATATTATATTAATCAACAAAAACAACATAAAAATTTCAAAGCAATAAATTGATATAAATTTATAATAATAAAAAAAGTCCTACAATCCTCAACATTCAATCAATCTATAAATCCATTTTCTAACATCCGCCCTAAAGAATAGAAATTAAAGAATACATTAGCATTACTTGCAAAGATAATCTTGTGAGAAACCCCTGTTGAAGAGGATGACCAAATGGAGAYCCACCAAGCAATGCATCCCGAATTCGATCATTAAAGCTGAATGAAATACATTAATTATTTATCATTGTATAAATAAATGTTCCAACTATAATAAATTGGTCCATTTCGTGTACCTCCCACTTCCGCTTMCCGCTAGATTGAACTGTGATGCATTTATGCCACGACCATCGTTTGCCACTTCACCAAAGTCCCAACCTTCACCATACCTGAATAGAGGAGAAATTTAAACATAAACCTCAAGAAACAACTAGATACAAAGCCCCCAGCCCCCAGGGGCGATGATGAATGTCTACATCATTTTGCATTGGCAAAAAGCGTTTATCGTGCTTTTCAAGGACTGCTTTACACATTCTAAAGAACCAACACAATAGAGACTGCTAAAAAAGCTAACATGTTATAGCTTTACAGTGAAATGACTACAGTTTTGAAGATTATCAATCAGTTGGAAACCATATAMTGGTGGCTTCATTCTTACATGAAAAATACTTGAACCATCTACTTCGTCTTTGTCCCTTGACAAGTTTCTAAGCAAGCTCTTAGCTCTCATCTGTGATCAGAAAAAAGAAGTTACAAATCAACCGAAAGCTTCTGTTTKTTAACAATAGCAAGTGCTTTCAGATATCCAAGATTACTTGTCTAAACCGCTACTCCCTCTGTTCGCTTCCTGGGATGTCCCAAAAAACTGCAACAGTTCTTGTTTTGACAACCTCTTAAAATCTACCTTATCAACCATCTCATTGTCATAATTATAGAGAAATGATGATATTGTTCTGGGTCCACAAAATTTCCTATTTTTGTCATTATCAGAGGGTATTTAACACATTTGTTTAATAGTAAAAGTTCCTTCTAAACTATGTGATCTATCAAACATYGCAATTTTCATGGCATGGATGGAGGGGCATARGAAAAATAAGGTTAGAGTGTCATACCATGGTACTTTTCATCATATGACCCATAAGATCAAACCGGAACCCATYAATCTGTAGGAGATCAGCAATGTGGTATTTAGAATCATAAAAGATATAAATACAAAGGTAGAGTTCGTAGTGGTTTAGGAGTACTGATTCGAACTTCTTAAACATTTTGAGCTAAATAATAATGCAAATGTAGAATTTTTGGTGGTTTTAGGTTTACTAATTTTAACTTCTTAAACATATGGGTTGTTGTGGAAGTAAACATCTCATTGTGAACTCACAGAGTCCAAGGAGAAATGATCTGTTTCAACTTTGTATAATTGAGTAATATACTATTTGGCCACTTTACTATTAAATTTATTTATTTGACCCACTCGTCCTACTTTCTGGCCAAAAACAAACTGTTGTTCTAAGCATCTTTTTAATAAGGCCAAACTAATCAAACCACTTTAGTTTCGACCGAAAGTAAGACATGCAAGCATAAAATGGTTGAAACATGAGGCACAAACGGCACATAAATAATTTTCATGCTCAATTCTTTTTTGCTGTATATAAGGGGAGTGACAGTACTTTTACCTTATAATTGCATGCCCTGTTTAAAAGATCATCAACAATTAGACGATCAACAATAAAATGCTCACTCGCAGTGTTATTTACACATGTGCTGTTCTCAATGAAACCATCTGCATTCCTTCTCAAGTAATAACCTGGAACAATCTATAAGGGAATCCAAGTTAGGCATCTTGCATTCCTATTTGTATATCCCTCTATCCCTTGTTGCAGCATTTTCCATTTTGGGATGTCTTGGGGTTAGTTGCATAGCTTCCTGTAGGGACTCCCCACAGAACAGGATTATAGCTTTTTAAGGGAAAATGCCAAAGTATTAGTTTCTATCTATGAGCAAGAAATTTCTAAAATTTTGGACAACCCAAATTATTGCAATACGTAATAAAAAATATAATGGAATCATTGTCAAGAATTCAAGAGCATTATCCACTGGCTGCAAACTAGTAACACTAATGCATTGTCCACTGGCTGCACAATGTAGCAAAAGTGTGAATTGCTGCAAGTAAGGAGCATTTTTACAGACTATAATCATCTGGAAAAGAAACTACAAGCTATGGAACATGTATCAAGTTTAATTTTTAGGCAATTGCCAAATACTTGTGGATTTCACTTCACCCATAAAACAAAAATTACAAAAAGATAACACAAAAAGTGATCTCCAGTGGCCTTGAGGAACATGAACTGGCGACCTATGGGGAGGAGCTCCAGGCCTAGCCCCTCTATTTGCCAGTTGAGYTGGCCCTCAAGGTTGATTGGAGATCTTTTTAAGGTAAACTACAAGGGGAAGAAGCAACATAAAATCTTACCATCAAAGAAAGCAACAACCAATTGGTCTTTGAGTATAGTTTTGGGATCCAAAGCTGTAGGAACCTTAAAAGCTTTATAATCTCGTATATGAGGAAGCTTATCTCTCACCTGATGGAAAATCAAGTAACGAAGCATAATAATACAATATGATATTATCAAACARATTCTACAATGAA